TGAATAAGGAACTGTCACTTCATATGCATTATCAAATGTCGTTCCTTTATTATCCCTTCTTACAGCCCAATACATAAAAGTACCAAATTCATTACCACTTCCTTCTCGAAGAATAGTTGTAGCAAATACAAACAAACTTTCTCCCTTTTTAATTGTTTCAACAGAAGTAGCATATAAATCAAATGTAGATTTAATACATTCTGAACATCCTTTTAGAGTAGCGAGATATCCAGTATATTGTTCTGGTTTAAAGGTATAAACTCCATGCATAATACTCATATCTTCTTTTTCAGCTTTTAACTCATACCATCCTCCTTTAAGATTCTTTTTATTATCTTTACAATCAAATATAGTATAACTTTCTTGGTTACTTCCAATAAGGTATTGGGTGAATTGATCTCCTTCTGTTGTTATATTTAAAAATCTAGCATGTTCACAGAGATAATTATCTTTAAAATCAATTTGCATTACTCCGACATTGACTTTGCATTGTGGATTACTACAAACTACTCTAAATCTATACAATTGATTTGCTTCAAGGAATACATTAATTAATGCATCATTACCACATGTGTTAGAACTAACTTCAGCACAATTATCACATCCGTTTGAATAAAGTTCAAGTGATGTATGATCAGATCCTGAACTTTGAGTGAAACAAGTATGAATAGCATATCTTCTACCATCTCCTCTAACACTAAAGTACATTCCAGTTTGTTGAGTATTAAGAGAACAAGGTGAGGTACTTTTAGTATATCCAGACATATCCATAATTATATTAAATGGTTTTTTAGAAATAGAAAATGCATTAGTACATTTGTAGTTATCTCCACCGTTTGTTCTGAATGTAACTTCAAATGATCCAGAAACAGGTGATTTTGAGGTGTCTCCAGTAAAATGTACAAATACATAATATTCCTCTCCAACAATAAATTTATCATAGTATAAACGTGCTAATGAGCCACACCCTTCTGTAGCTTCTGCAATTGGTGCATCACCCATACAACCATTTGAAGTAGTTACTTTTTTATAAAGATAAATCGTTGTTGGGTATTGAGTATTTTTATTACATGTATCAATAACATGAGTACTTTGTGTAGCAGTAAATTTAAACCACATACCTCTCAAAAGTCCATGATAATTTCCACTATAAGTTAAACTAGATAAAATAGTTGCGTCAATAGTTTGTGGGAAACTATTAATTTGTAATGCATTAGAACACATGGTACTACTGGGATTAATGTATTCTTTCACAGTTAGTCTAAATGATCCAATGTCATGGCTAGTTACTCCTGAAACAATAATAAAATAACTTTGTGATGCTTTTACACTTACTATTAATTTAGATCTATGTCCATCACAAAGTCCATTAGGGTCTCCGTCATTAGCCCCAACACAAGAAGAAGTTACACCATCAATACAAGAACTTCCAATAATAATTCTTGTTGCAAAATCTGTTTGTGCATAACATGTAGATACTTCAATCATTTTATCAGAAGAAGGTGTGTATTGAAATGTTACTGACTTATCTTCATGTACCTCAGAGTCAACTTGTTGACAACTCCATTTATTGGTTTCTCCTTTGTAACTTAAATCAATTACGTCATCAAAATTTTCTTGAATTGTAATAGGGCTTTGGCAACTTGAAGCATAAAGGTTGACAATAAATAAAAACAGAACAACCATTTTTAAGTCGTTTATTCAATTTTTAATTAATAGTTCCTTTTTATTTTAAAACTCTTTTTCATTTTTTTTCCACGTTGAATTTTCTTGTGATACTTACAATTTTCTTTATAAACCATTTCTTCTTATTATTTTATTACAAAAATACTTTCCACCTTTTATTTTCTATTTCTTGTTAAATTCAGAAATTTCAAATTGATTATTCTTTCATGAAAAACTCTTTCCCTAACTACACCACTTTCTTCTTTCTTTTGTACCTTTTCATTTTTCAACAAAATACCTTACAATGAAAACAGAAACAGAGTCATCTCAAGGTTACTTCATTGTGTTGTGAGTAAATACATGAAAATTCAAGATACTATCGATAATATTAACTTTTTATTATTTACTCAAAATTGTAATACTTCTAAAAATAAACAATCAAAAACTCAATATATATAAATTCATTTATTTTATTTCTGATTCTAAAAAATTAAACGATATCATTTTTTGAAGTGAGAATGCGAATAAATGGTTATAGTTAATAATTTATTATTTGAACCAAATCATATTATAATGTACCAAAAGAAACTCACTCCCTAATTGTTTTTTCCTAATAATTCTTGTGAAAAATAATAAAATAAAAAGAAACACAGATAGCACCTAATTTTTTGATAACAAAGATGTCTATAATTAATTTGATTAAAACATTTGTTTTTAAGATTATTTATTATACTCTTT